AGATGTATGCTACCAAACCCACCACCAAGGCCCCAGTAATCCTCCCCCATAAACCACCAGGCCCCCTTTGCTCCCACTCCATACCCTGCCCCACTGATAGCCTGCAGTCAGATTTCTAGGGTTTGTTATATTATGAGTATTTGTGTTTAGTTTATCTGTAGTTTTGTTAGTTTTTTTCACAATAAGATGTATATAAAACATGCTTGTGAGATTTTAAAGCCTCACTAGGCTACTATATGCTACTTTCTGGAGTAGTACCTTGGTATTTAGTCTTTCAACTATCGTGTTTTTAGAGCAGCTATGTTCCATTGATGTGCAAAGTTGATTCATTTATATGTATATATGACTAGATACAAGAAATTATTTATTATGGGCCTTTGCTTATTAAAATAGTTCAAATTTACTGTATGGGATGCTTGGCAATACTAAAGCTGTGGGTCACCTGTGATAATTCACTAACCACTTCTTGGAACCTCGGTCTGAATGCATTTTCTACTTTGTCCCTTTTTTACTACTCTGTGGCCGCCATTTTTTTTTTTTTTAAAGATTTATATATTTATACATACGAAAACTGGGGTATAGGCCAGAGGTGTGTGGGGGTGTGAGTGAGAGGATTCACCAGAGACAGAGCAGGGAGCAGAGCAGACAGATCTACTGAAATAGACTGAGGGGAGCAGTGGGTGAGACAGGAGAGGTCTGCTGTGCCATGTGGGTTAGCAACCTGGCCAGCTGGGAAATGAACTGCTGCAGTGGCTGGCAATAGCTTGATAGCTCTGTGGCTTTAACCCCTGCGCCACCAGGAAAGCCCCTGTGGCTGCCATTCTAATCCAAACCACTGTCCTCTCTCACCTGTATTATTGAAAGTTTCCTAAAATGCATACATTGTGCAAAAATGAAAAATGATGTAAAAATATATAAAATTAAAAAAATAATAAAAAAAGAAAAAAGCATCTTGCTGCTTTTAATCATGCCCTGGACCTCAGCCTGATCTCTATACACAAGAGAGTGGTGTTTCAAATCATAAGGGAGATCCTATAACCTGCCAGATGAGAACTCTGTTAGAATAAAATCCAACTCTTTACAAAGGTCTTCTTGTTCCTCTTTGAACACCTGGGGTCTTTGTCCTACCTGCTCTGTCCCCAGCATGATCTTTCCATAGCTGGCCGCTGGCTTCATTCAGCACTCTGCTTGCATGTCACCTCCTCAGAGTGGCCACTCCTGACTGCACCGTCCTCCCGTCACGCATATGTAGGCACGTGTACAAGTGTGCACATGCACATGCCATCCTCTGCTTCATTGTTCTTAAACTTTATCACCAGGCAGCATGTATTTATTTTACTTTTTCACTCATTACTCTGTCCCTCTTGATTTAAGTTTTTAAATTTTAAGTTTTTAAATTTAATTTTTGTTGCTGCTGTTCTAGACCTTAACCATGACTGGTCCCTATAGGAGTTTTAGAAATATTTATTTGAAGGAATGCTCAGTATTTTTTGACATTGTGCATGGTAAATTGAAAGTGTAGAAAACTGCAAATGGAGAGTGTTTCACAGTAGGTAACCTCTCACATCTGAAAGGATTGTCCTTTAAACAGAAAGCCCTTCAGTGACTAATAGCAATCCTCAGGGACTGACCGCTGACAGCAGGAATGAGTGGGGGGCGGGGAGAATGAGATAATGGATGCAGAATGCTGAGGACAATGTGAGACACTGGTGCTGTAACACATTATTATGAATCATTGGCAAGTTGATGAGAAAGGGTGTAAAGGTCTCCTGAGTGGGAGTCACTTCATAGTTAAGGGAAGTATTCTTTGGAAAATTATGTCATTTATGTAAGAGACTTGTTGAAAAGTTCCATTGGGAAGCAGGTCACCCCTAAGCAATGAGGAGGAATGGCACTTGCATGAGGAAATTGCTGAGTGTATTCAGACATCTCCCCAGTCACCCCAAGTGTAATAAATGGTGACCAGTGTTGTTGGGGTGTGTGCATTACAGTGTAGTGTATCATTTTCAGGAGGCTAAACTGGGACCTCTCAAAATCGAGTTCCACTGCTGTATCCTAGGCTTCCTAAACTTTTGAAGAAGGAAATGAGAAAGGAAATGGTGTTTTTAGACTGAACTTACACTTTTTTTTATATATATAGGAAGAACCACATTACTGCTAATTATGATAAAAGAAAAAAATAGCATCCGGATTGGAAAGCAGAATTGTCCTAAAATATTGATTGGGGATCCTAGGAGAGGCTTGTATTCTTTCTTCTGCTGTTTAACATTATAACCAGGTCCACTCTTGCTCCTCCTGTCTCATTCCTGTTCTGAAGGGTCTGTGTTGTCAGTGACACTTTTCTGTGCTGCTGACTAAAGGGAGAGCTTGAGGTCTTGTCCTTTTTCTGGGAGTCTGGGCTACTCCTGAGCTCTAAGGTGCCTGTTGCCCTCCCTGCTTTGTGGGGTGAATGCAGTAAGATGAGACCCTAATGACTGAGGAGACCCTCACTTGAAGGGTGACCTGCCATCTTGTTTGCTGGGCCCCAAGGGGCCTGGAACACAAGACTAAATGCTAACTCTGGGAAAGTCTTGGGTAAGCTGAGTTGGTCTCCCTCCCACAAGGAAGTTCAGGGAAGGACTGGAGAAAAAGCCAACTCATGACATCATTCACTATAGCTCCTGGGGAAATTCCTAACCCTGAGCCTTGCAACTTCCTGTGACCTCAGGGATCTCTGGTGAGCTTTGTTAACCTTTCTCCTCCCATGTCTTTTCACTGAATGTGAGCTTGTGGATTTTAGTGAAGCCTCAAATACAGTCCCAAAGCAAGGAAGAAAATTATGTTCAGAAATGACGATGACTGCAGTGACCATCCAGCTCCCTCTGCCTCCATCCCTTCCTAACTGTCCCTTAACCCACTCTGGGGGCTCAGCTTCTACTCCAAATGCTTGGCCTAATCCTGCTGTAGACTTGCAGCATTTCAGGATTTTTAAGACAGCTTTTTAGATATTTAGCATCAGCTTGGCACCTGGGGCTGGCCTCTTTACTATCTTAGTCCCTTGACTGTGTCCTTACTAGTCAACCTGCTGCTGTATTGCGACATGCCTTGATCATCCAGCAAGGAGCCAGCGTCTGCACTAATGGGAAGCAGTGTGTGCAGGCCCTGGGCTGCAGTGGCAGCCCTGATGTCCTCACCATCTGCCTTCGCTTGCTCTTTGACTCTCCACTGCTGGTGTCTGCTCCTCTCTGAGGCCGGGCCATTGTCCTCGAGTCTCCCTGGGCCTCCCCCACATTTTGTACTGCTGTGAGCTTTGGAGAAGGGCCCCTTGAGGTGCATACATAATTAAATATGCATGAACAGTTAGAATAAAGCTGCCTTTCCTGGGCCAGCCTGTAAGGCTCAAGGCCTGACAAACTGCCCTGGCTGAGTTTTAACTCCTGCTGGCCCCACCTGGGCTGGGTGTGCAGCTCACACTACCACACACCCAGCTCTCCTCCTAACACCGTGGACAACTGGGCCAGTTGCTACAAGGGCCTGGTACAAAAATATGCTATGCTTTTCTGGACAGATTTTGTCTCATTTCTCAGTACTGAACTTGACCCAAAATTTAGTCCCTGTCCTCCTGGCTCCATCTCTTTCAGAGTTCAGGTCACTCCTATTTAAGATTTCATTCTTAATCTTATGGTGGAAGAAAGGTTTATATAGCCTATAAAAACCTAAATTGATTAAGTACATAACATATAAAATATAATAAAATAATAAAATTCAACTTTGGCACTAAAAACCTACCATCTCTCGGTATGGTGCTTTGTTACATCTAGTGTCTGCTTGTCTTGGGATCAATTTTCTAGTCATTCTACTCTTTTTCCAAAAGATGTCTACCTTGGAGTAGTGCCATCCTTTCTCTCTTCAAAAATTGTTGGGAATTCTTAGAAGAAAGAGGGTTTCCTAATACAATTTTGACTTTAGGCCTACGCCGACATTTATTATCCCAGGCTTCCCTGTGAAAAAGATGAAAGCATGAAACTCGGCTGCCTAAATAGTAGTAGTTCCTGAAAGGTGGAACCAGAAAAGAGAGGCTTGGAAAAAAGAAATGGTAAACTGGTAGGCAGAACATCCCAGCTCTGTGACAAAGGTGAGTTTAGGCAGGAAGACCCATTTGTGACAGATACAGAGGAAAGACTGGAGAAGAGAAAAGCCCTTTGGAATACTGGCCCACAGAGCTTTTGAAAACTACTGTCTAAAGAGAAACTTCTTTGTTTGGAATCCCATACTTTGAACGTTGAATCAATTAGATCCAAGTTTCCCTGGTGGGAGGTACAATTACTACTATTCGAGCTGATCATCAAACCTCAGATGTTACTCTGTTTAAACAAACTGAAGTTTAATTTGTGAAGAAGGATTCTAGATTACTTTAATACCTCTATCACATCTAAATGTGAGCCACTTACAAAACACACAAGTACTAATGAGATTATTTTAGTACAAACATAGATGTGTAGTATGTGGGACACATACATACATATGTACCTATCTAAGTACATATCTAGAGACAATGAATGCATATATAACATTAAGAGACAAAATTAATGTTTCGTCAAGATGTCTGCACATGGTGCTCAAGCTCAGAGAATGGCAGTTCGCTTGAAATGTCTTTGTACAGCCAAATCTGTGCCAAGATCAAAATACGAATTTTTTAAGCCACCAAAAATAGACTAATAAATAAAAGCAAATTCTCTGGGTGCCTCAGAGTATTTTGTGTCGGAAGTAGGTAAAATTTAGAGAAAAACCTTATTCACAAACCCCAGACAGGGTTGAATTTTTCATGCCTAATATGTGAGCTCGAGGCCACTATAGTGTAACCACTTTTACAAGCGTCTTCCTCCAGACAACTTCCTCTGATTCTAACTACTGACCTGTCACAAATAATGATCCATGTTGAAATAGGTTCAAGTTTTTATCATACTGCTGAATGGCACACTTGCTAGGATGTAAGGCAGTGGGAATGAGAGCCTACTTACTTGTGTTTATCTTCTGGAGTGAAATATGCTTTTCCAGTTGTCTCCTAAGTTTCACCTCTGCTCCATATTTCCCAGTGGTTCCATTGTCGGCCAGAATGAAGTGGGAATGCATGCTGTTGAGAACAGTGAGCTTGCTCATGGGGTTGGACATGGTCTGGTATGGCCGGACAACCTGCAGGAAAGAGTCAGAAGTCAGAAAAAAGGAAACAAGGTGAAAAGGAGAATTGGGAAGGAGAGAGGAAATAGAGAAGGGAAATCCATTCTTTAATTTGGTGAAAGTATGGTCAACATGTGGAGAGGCAACATTTGTGGTAGATGTTTCGTTCAAAGTAAGATTATGCTGAAAAGATTATATTTTTATTTCCTGGGCTTCTATAATAACAGAATTCATGCTTTCATTGCACTAAAAAACTGTTGTGTGAATGATTGTTTCATTTTGAGGTTGATTTTTTTAGTTGGTGAACCAAAGCTATTTTTCAAATGTAATTTGTTTCCTTCCTTCTCTTCTTCATGATGTCCTTACTGTAATAGGCACTATACTAGAGCAGAACAATCTTGATTCTGGAGAATGGTGGGGACTGGATGGTGTGGGGGTGATCTCTGTTCAAGTCAGATAGTAACCTTAGGTCTACTATTTAAAACCAATATATCTCTTATCAGACACTTAAGTGGAAATATTGAATGTAAAAATAACTGTTTCATGAAACTAATGTGAATCAGGCCCAAAATGCTCATCTCTATCTTATTTATCTTTATTCTGTCCTTAATTTGAATTTCATTGTGAATTATACTACCAGCAATTCTTTGTGTGGTCTTACTAAGTATTGATACAAAAATAAAAGCAAAAACTAATGTGAGCTTGTTATTTATATTATCTATGTTTCTTGCAACAATCTTACAGGGTAAATGCTGTTATATTTACACAAATAGGTGAAGTAGGTAATCTAAAAGTTCACTACACACAACCAGAATTCACACCAAGGTCTGCCTTATTCCCCATTGCTAGCTTGCTTGGATATTGTTGGAATAAGATGATGTGCTGAAAATCTACTTTTAAAATATTTAGGAAGAAATGTCTCCCAAGAGGATGAAAAGGACCATTCATCAAGCTCATTGTTACATCACCCAAGACATTATCCCTGTACTGAAATCATTGAAATTGACAGGATAGAAAAGAAATGCCACTGGGTTTTTATTTTTGTGCCTTTGTGTGGTGTATCCATTTATTATGGAGTTGGGGGGCTCTTGTTCATTTTCAGTATGAAATAGTTCACCATAAAAATCTCCAGTAAGAATGACTAGTTTTGTTAGAAGACTTACAAAGTGATTTGACAAGGGCAATCTTCAGTAGTAAAGATCTTGTGAAAGTTAAATTTTAGACCTCAATGCTGATTTCAAAACCCCACATTTGAATGTGCCTGGCAAACAGAATCTACTTGATAAACAGTGAATGAATAAATAGGAAAACTGTTTAGACAGACATGCTTTTGTTCAAAACTGAAGGGAAAAAAAATCCTTTTCTGAATCCTTTGAGAATTTAATCTAAATTTATAATGTGTAACTCTGAGCTTTTGAAATATCCTTTGGTCCTTTTGCTATATGTCCTATTTGTTAATGTACCATTAAGATAACAATCATTTGTAGCTTCATTTTAGTAGTCTCTTATTAAGGAAACCCATGCCTTTTGATTATTGTTTCCAGTAATCACATGGAACAGTATTCAATTACTCCTTTGTTTAGATGAGTGAATGAGTTTCCCCCAAAAGAGAGACAGTGGTTTGCTCACCCCATCCTGGGTTCTTTATCTCTGGAAGAAGTAGGTTGCTTGTGGTTGAGATTCCCATTTTATTGTTACTCATTTTTGTTCATAAAACATTCATTCTACAGCAGAGTGCAAGCTGATAAATATTAATGCTTTGTTGAAAGAGGCTTAGCAGAATGACTTTCTCTATTCTTAAAGTGGCTCTGCACTGTGCTTTTGTACAAAAGGAAAATGCTTTAGTTATTGTTCCCTCTTTCCGAACGCAGCTCCTCCAAGGCTCCATGCCAGGAGGAGGAATTCCCAAAGTAGTTCTGTGGGAGGCAGGGGACAGTGGATTTCTGGAGGTTACATGTGATAGTGAACCCTAGACATTTGTTCCAGCTGAGACTTGAGGACAAGTATTTCAGTTCCTGAGAACCTAATTAAGGATTATCAGTGAAATTTTCAAGTGAATAAAGGAGTGAAATGATTCTGGCCCAAGTGATATACTCAGTACAATCTGAGAATAAATGAACATAATAAATCATCTGACTATATTTTATTTTATGTAACAATTTTGAGAAAACAAATTGTTTTCTCTACCACTGTTTTCTAAGGACAATGGTACTTCAGCTTTTTGAGTTTCTACTGTCTTTTCTTGTGAAACCTAGAGCCCCAGTTCTTTGGGAATACTGTACATTTGAACCTGTCATGGCAAAAGGGTCAACTTTGAAGTATCATTTCTTACTGCTTCTCATTTTTTTTCTATGTGAAGAAAAGTTAAAGGTGTTCACGTTTTGGCAGAAATTGCTGAAAAAATAGGGGCTAGACATCTGAAAAAATAAAATGTCCTGATTTCATCTCAAATCAGCATGGGTGAAGATAAAGCTGAGTCCTGGTACAAGCCCAATACAGGAGCTGTGGAAATCTGTTTGAATCCTGGTTTTTCCAATGGCTGTGTGAACCTGAGTCACATTTTTTATCCTGGAAGAGGGAAATGAGGAAACCATCAAACTCAGGGGGATTCGATGAGCTTATATGTACAAAGTACCTGGCGCCAAGCCTGACTCCTAGCTGGCAGCCTCCAAGTGAGAATTCCTTCTGAAACACTGCTTTATTATGAAATATACTCTAGAATTCCAACTGCAAACTAGTGACCAAATATAAATGATGAGACAAATCATCAATTTGTTTTATACCAGGGATTTAAATCAATCAATGTAAGTGAAGAAAAATAATTAGCAATCAGTTGGCAAAATATGCAAAGTGTTTTTTCTTTGCTAAGTCCTCCCAGACCGTCTAAAAGGGTGATGTTTGAGAACTATCTGTTGATTAATTGCAAAGTTGGAACTAACTTACCAAGTATTCCAGAGGAAGGCATTTTGGTCTAACTTGTCTATAAAGCGTACTTCATATTCTTCATAACAAACATAACAACAGGCTATTTTGGCTTGAGTAACAATTTACATATCTACAAAAGATTTGCTGATCTTTCTGTTACATTTCTCAAACAGAAAAAAAAAATGTCTTTTTCCGCACATGAATATAAATGATTTTTTCCCCTCTAGCAACATTTTAGAGGTAAAGCATTTCCTTTTGTTAAGAGCTCATAAAGCAGGACATTTTGGGGAAAGTGTGTGCGTGTGTGTGTATACACGTACGTACGTACATGTGCAGGTTCATGTGTAATAAGAACACTTGTGACATGTTCGTGACCAGCAGTCATGAAATTACTCTGGCATGTTTTTCAGCCAGTGTTGAATGCCCTGCAGTGTGCACTGCATAGAGTGGATCACCTTCTTTCTTAAGAACATAAGATGGTCCAGACCATGTACTATCTATCCTTGGGAGAATAGAGAAGAGATTCACTCTAATGATTTGCTGTGCTTTGTAATTTAGATGAAAAATCTGGGATGAGAAAGACTGGGTTGTGTTTGAAAAGCCCACCTATTAAGTGATCTTCCATGCTTGATAAGTAGAACAGTGTGTGTGTGTGTGTGTGTGTGTGTGTGTGTGTGTGTGTATGTATGTACAAAGTATTAGTAAGTATATGAGAAATTTGCTTAGAAATGGTTTTTAGACACTAACTGCTTTCAGGTATCATGACTAGAATACCTTTAAGTAATGACATTTTGTTTTTGTTGTCCCTGAAGTGTAGATAAGAGATGTCTTTATTTTTTTTCATACATGGTACTCTACCTTGTACTGGCTTATTGGTAAAATCCTGGTCCTAAGGACTCTGTGTATCTTGGTTATGAAACCAAGAAGCTCTCTACAGTGAAGTAGGCAGTGTTATAAGGGCTAACGAAGCCAATTCTTGCATCATGATCACTGCCAGGAGGGGAGTGACCAGAGACAATCTGGAAAAATGGAATATTTTTATGTGCTGAGGCCTGCGTTTGTTTTCCTTGGATGGGCTTAAAATTGTCACTTGAAAGTTACCCAGGATACCAGCTTGTTCCTCATCCTACCTATATTTATGATTGTTCTGGTCTAATCTAGGAGCACTTAGTGGGATATTAGGAGATGGTAGTTCTAGCTTTGAGTAACTAATTTGTGACCTTGGGCAAGGTTCTAATTCATTCATTTACTTACTGATTATTTCGTAAGGATGAGTATGTGATAAGTAGTATGCTGGCTTCAGAAGATACATAATCTTGCCATCTATATGATCTCTCACAATAAATGTTCAAACTGTATTAATTAAGAGAAAAGTCTTGGAGACAGCTTTTTCATCTATAGAAAACTTGATTGTAATTTTTAGGTTTTCTGCCTTTGAAATTGAGTCAGGACAGCTTGTGTTAAAAAGCACATTTACTTTTTCCCAAGTTAGTACAGAACAATGTCCTTCCAGGTGTATCAGCTACATAAAAGTGGTTCTCTCCTGTTATGGGGTGTCTTCTATTTAGTGGTACTTTCTACAATACAAGGGCAGTTTGGTTACCTGGGACTTCTTTCTAAATGCAACTGAATTGAACCAGGTCAGGCTTTTCAGTCATCTATTACAGGTCATTCACAGTCCCAGATCTCATGCTGGGAGGTATCAATGTGCCCAGGAAAGTAGCAGGGTAGGAGAAGTGTGGCCCCTTCAGACATCTTTTCCCTCCAGATAGCACTATGATTATAATTTATGCAGGAAGAAAATTAGCATTCATTGGCCACTCACTGTGTTCCAGGTACTGAGATAGACACTTGCATGTGGATTAATCCATTTCATGCTTATTTTATAGTCAAAACTATAGCAGTTCAGAGAAGTGGTGTCTTGACTAAATTTGTCCAAATGTAATTTGTTAGTCTTTCCTTTTAAATCATATGTAGGTCTTAAATTCCTGTGCAGTAGACATTTAGAGGAAAGACAGAGGACCCAGCTTAATTTTAAATTTATAGAGGATATTATGATTTTGCTGCTGGTCATTTTTGTAAGTGGATCA